CCGCACTCGTCGTAGACGGAGGCGCCCGCGTCGAAGAAGAAGGTTTTGGTCCCCGGCCGGTTCGCGCCGACCTCCGCGGCGCGCGGTAAGGCGATGAAGGCCTTGGAGAACATGAGCGCGAACGTGTCCTTCTCGGGGCCGACGCAGTGGAACAGCGGGTGCCGGAGGTGGCCTATCAGCGGCTCGATGGGCGCCCAGCCGTCGCAGCCGCCGTCGTCGGCCCAGGCGCTCAGCACCTCGCCGTCCGCCGGCGGCGACCGGCCCTCGGCGCGCCGCTCGATCCACCGGAGCCACCGATTGACCTTGTCGACGTCGGCGGCGACGGCCGCGCAGCCCTTGGCCCAGTCGTCGTCGTCGCCCTCGAGCTGGCGGATGTCGCGCGCCCAGCGCGCCTCCCAGGGCGCCGCCACGTAGCGCGCCGTCGCCCGCGACCCGGCGCCGGCGCGCCGCGCCATGATCGTCGCGCGGCCGCCGCCGACGTCGCGCTGCGTCGCCGGGCCGCACAAGGCGTCGTCGCGCGCGCCGCCATTTGCGCGGCGGCCGAGGCCGCGGCGGCCGCGCCGCCGGGTTTCGATGCCATCCTCGGCGTTGGTGGCGAGGAGCAGTGCGAAGAGGAATGGCGGCAGCCCCATGCTTGGGTGCTGCAACACGACTGATCTTGCGCTTCATCTTCCGCCGCGCTCCGAGACCCTAGCGTGATGGATCCCGACTACCGAGTCCTTCTCGAGGCCCAACACGAGGAGTTTGAGGCCCATCTCGAGGAGTTTGGCTTGGATGGCTTGGATAACATGATCCCTGAGCACGTGCGCGTCTTGCGCGAGGGCGACGACGCATCGAAGACGGCGGCGGCGGAGGCGCTGGGCTACCTCACGAGCGGCGATTATCAGCAAATCCGGGTCTTTATCGGCGAGGTCGGTGCCATCCCGCTGCTCGTCCAGCTCCTGCGCGACGGGAGCGCGGAGGCCAAACTGGCAGCCGCGTCGGCGCTGGGCAACCTCTCGTTTCAGGCCAACGAGGTCCTGATCGCCGAGGCTGGCGTCATCCCGCTGCTCGTCGAGTTTGCTCGCGACGGGGGCGCGAAGGCCAAATTCACGGGCGCGAATGCGCTGCGCGACATCGCGACGAACGACGATAATGCGGTCCTGATCGCGGCGACCGTCGGTTTCGACGGCATCGCCGAGCTCGCGCGATATGGCTGGGTGACCCTCGAGGGCGACGAGCCGATTGTGGAAGATGCAGGTCCCGCCGCTCAGCGCGAAGCCGCGCGCCTCCTGCCCGGCATGCAGGTCCTGATCGCCGAGGCCGGCGGCATCGCTCGATTCGTCGAGATCCTGCGCGACGCGAGCGCGGAAGATTTTGTCAAAGCGCGGGCCGCGCTGGCGCTGTGGGGCCTCGCGTTCGACAACGACGCCAACGCGGTCGCGATCGCGGTGGCCTTCGGATTCGGCGCGGTCGTCGAGCTTGCGCGAGGTGGCGAGGTGTACGTCTACGACGACGATGATGTCGTGGGCAATGCAAGCCCCGCCGCCAAGCGCGAGGCCGCGCGCCTCCTGCTCCGCGAGTGCCTTCCCCACGCGCCCGAAGACATCGTCATCGCCA